CCCCAGGCCTGCAGGGGACCTTTGTCCTCAGGGGCTGTGCCGGAGAATAAGCAGCCGTATTTCTCCTGCACCCTCGGACAGAGCTCCGCAGGCATGGAAGTCTCTCGCGCGGAAGACAGCTTGAGGATGGGCACGTCCGGCTTTCCACTCACCGGCCCGGAGGAGAAAGGACTGCCCGGGCGTGTGGGGGTCGGCTGAGGCCACGCGCCGGGGGATTCTCTGGCTCAGCAGCCGCAAGGCTCAGTGCAGTAGCTTCCAGGCCAGGACACCGAGGGCTCTGAGGGCCCCTGACTGGGACGGGGTCTCAGGTGAAGATTACTAGACAGGGGCTGAAGGGGGAGAGCGACCTTTTCTGAAGCCCAGCCCCCCGCCCCCCATCCCCCCGCCACCCCCATCAAGTTGCAAATTCCTCCAAGAGGAGAATTGCAATTGCAGATGATTTCACCCGTCTGTGAAAGGGTGACCTCAGGGGTGCCTGAGGGGCTCCGTCGGTTGAGCACCAACTTTTGATTTCAGCTCAGGTCCTGATCCCGGGGTCCTGCAGTCGAGCTCTGAGTCAGGCTCTGTACTGGGTGTGGAGCCTGCTTGGGTTTCACCCCTCCCCCTCCCTCTCCCCCTCCCTCCCCCTCTCCCCTCCCTTTCTCTCCCCCTCCCCCCTCCCCCCCAGTTCCCCACTCACTCTCTCAAATAAAAAACAACTAGAATGTGGGATCCCCTGTGAAACACGTGTCAATCTTTCACAAGGAGGGTTGGTAATTTACTGCCCCCATTTGTTCTAGGGAACTACTTCCTCGTTTTCCTTTTAAGTTATTTATTTATTTTTTTTTCCTATTTAAATGAGAAGTTCAAGTAACCGTTTTTCTTAGAATCTCTGCCTTGCTGGTTATCACATGTAACCTCACTTTATATTTTTTTTTGGGTGTTTTCAACAGTGTTCTGCTTTTAGTCAAGTGAGGAGATACTGAATTATCAGGTTTGTTTTTCTAGGAATCTCTCCTGTAACTGAAAAGTTTATTTTCTCTTGTAATTCTGTATTTAACATCTAAGGTTCAAGTGGGTCAGAGGACAGGTCGGGGCTCGCCGGGGGTTTCTTTCTCTCAGACCATAGTTGCCCCTAGAAATTTAAGTTTTGATTTTGAGAAGTATGTTGTTTTATTTGTCACTCAGGTCAGTATCTGCAGCACCCTAATTCACATGTGCCTGAAAATGCCATGTCGTTTTTACCTACTAAGTGCGGAAGTGCTTTTGCGGGGGAGGCACTGCTCCGCGTAGCTGTGACCCCCCCTACAGAGTCCTGTGTGGCGCTCTGTCTGCTTAAGGCCCCACGGGGGGTGGGGGGTGGCCCGGAGCCCCGAGTGAGGCTGTGCGGAGCCGTAGGCGGATCTCCACACACAGCCCTCCCTAGGGCCCCACGTGGGATCTGGGGGCCCCACGAGGCTCTCCACAGAGAGAACCGGGGTGTTCGTGGGCAGTGTTGTACCCCGATTCTGGACACTGAAATACTGACTGTGAATCCCAACACGTGCAAACCCACATCTCCATGAAAAATCAGGACCAGGCAGCGACGAGTCAGAACGTGTATGTAAAACGCTGCCCAGGGGCGCCTGGGTGGCTCAGTTGGTTAAGCGTCCAACTTTGGCTCAGGTCATGATCTCATGGTTCATGGGTTCAAGCTCCACATTGGGCTCTGTGCTGACAGCTCAGAGCCTGGAGCTGCTTCGGAGTCTGTGTCTCCCTCTCTCTCTGACCCTCCCCTGCTCACGCTGTTCTCTCGCTCTCAGAAGTAAATAAGACATTAAAAAAAAAAACAAAAAACCAAAACCACTGCCTGAACTCATTCTGGTGCACATTTCCCCGGTTTATCTCTTAGATGGTCTAGACCTGACGCTCACTGTCCTTTCCACGAACGTGTCTGGAATCATGGAGCCCGGCCCACTGGTGGCACGCCATGTCTGTGGTCTGACATGTGTGCTGTCTGTGGCAAAGATGTGCTCCCACTGGTTAAATGACATATTGTTTAGTGGTTTGTGTTCTGTTTCTCTAGCTCTTGTTCGTAAAGTAGCGCAGAGTGAACGTGGGGCGTCTCAGGACGGCTCTCTGGCTCAGTTGCATTCCCACTGCTCTCGTAAGTGGAAGAGAAAAGGCAGGGAGCTTCCCCCGGTGCTCAGGAACTATGATTCCTGGTACGGCACTCTGTCCTTCCTGTGAACGTCGTTTGTCACGTGTGACGAGCAAAAACAAGACGGAGAAGATGTGCCCAGGGTGGCAGGTCATGTGGAACAGGTGCGAGGGGATGATTCCCTTAAATCAACTACTTAAAAAAATTTTTTTAATGTTTATTTTTGAGAGAGAGAGAGAGAATGAGAATCCAAAGCAGCTCCAGGCTCTGAGCCATCAGCACAGAGTCCACGAACCCCAACATGACCTAAGCTGAAGTCGGAAACTTAACTGAGCCCCCCGGGCGCCCTTAAGTCAACTACTTTAGATCAATGCTGTCGTGAGCAGGTTTCTTTCCAAAGCAGCGTCTGAGCTACAGACTAGCAGAGCGTGTGATCAGACGACAAACTCAGTGAATGCCAGCTAGATTCGCATCACCTCCAGAGTCCAGGTACTTGTGATCCTGGCCTCGTTTGTCTGTGCTTTGTTCTGCCACTGCGCCTGAGTTCAAGGAACGTCTCCCGTGTCGATGAATGTTCAGGGTGGAGTGATTGTAAAATTAATAATTCGTACTTTGCTTCTACTAGAATTAACGTAGATCGTACGGTATGTAAAATTTTGCTGGAATCCCCACTAGGAAGCTTAAATATTTAAAATGGAGGATGTCAGGGGGCACCTGCATGGCTCTGTCGGTTAAGCATCGACTCTTGATTTCTGCTTAGGTCATGACCTCACAGTTCCTGGGATCAAGCCCTACATTGGGCTCTGTGCTGACAGCGTGGAGCCTGCTTGGGATTCTCTCTTTCTCTCTCTCTCTGCCCTTCCCCCGCGGGAACTCTCTCAAAATGACCAAACCTGTAAAAGAGAATGGAGTAAAAGTTAGCAAGCAAATTGAAAGGCAAGTGTGCTCAGGCTCCCAGGCTCCAGCCCCTGCTCCCCCTTCCTCCGGGGCTGGGGGAGCAGGGGGGAGGGAGGAGGGTCCCAGCCCTTCCTCTCCTCTCCTGCTGGTGACTGCGGCCTGCCCATCCTTTAGTGCCAGGTGTGTAGGCTGCTGCCCCTCCCCCCATCCGCACCCCGGGGTCCTCAGGGAGACGCCGGCCCTGGAGAAAGCCCCGAGTGTGAGCCCAGGATCGCCTGCAGTGCTCAAGGGCAGAATGAGGTTTTGATGCCGGTACGTCACAGAAAGAGCATTACCGTTCACCCGGACTAGAGCTCGTGGCTTCGTGACAGGCGTCCTTGTGCAGGGAGCGAGCTCAGTCCCAGAGCTTGCAGGCGAGTGGAACGACGTTTCTCAGGAACGGCTCACCCGCATTTCGAGGACTGCGCTGGAGTTTGGGGAAGTCAGGCAGGGATTTCCTGGCTGTTTTCAGGTTAACGAATGTGGGATTAACAGGAGGCAAATCAGCCGAATTTAGTGTAAAAATAACCTGTTGGGTCAGCAGATCGACTGGGTCCTGGCCACCTGCTCTAGGGTGGCTGGGGGCTCGCCTGGCAGTCGGGGCTTCAGTGACAAAACACACATGTGTTTGGGGAGTGGTGAAGGCCAAGGTGGGTGTTAGCAAACACCTGCTCTTCAAGGGATGTGAAGGTTTGGGTTTGGGTTCTCACACCATCTCTCGAGGGGACAGTGACGAAATAGCCAGATAAAGGGCACATCTTTCCCCAGGACAGTTTGGCCCGTTTCCACTTTGGGGAGCAGTTTATCTGTTTCTTAAAGGACATAGGCTTTGGGAAAATAGTAAAATATGGTAGCAGTGCGCCGAAATATCATATTGTGGAGAATGCTTTAAAAAACAGTCATAAAAATGTATGTTGACGGTGGACGCTGCATGTAGGCAGTTGACAGTGAGCGACTTGCCTGTCGGCTGACAGCTCGGAGCCTGGAGCCGGCTCGGGATTCTCTCTCTCTGTCCCTTCCCTGTCGTTCTCTGTCTCTCTCTCTCTGAAAATAAATCATCTTAAAAAAAAAAAAGCTTAGGGGCGCCTGGGTGGCTTAGTCGGTTAGGCGTCCGACTTTCGCTTAGGTCATGATCTCGCGGTTCGTGGGTTCGGGCCCCGCGTCGGGCTCTGTGCTGACTGCCAGCTCAGAGCCTGGAGCCTGTTTCAGTCTGTGTCTCCCTCTCTCTCTGACCCTCCCCTGCTCACGCTGTCTCTCTCTCTCCTAGAAATAAATAAAAATATTTAAAAAAAAAAAAAAAGCTTAAAAAGACAATTTGCTCTGAAATGTCAAAGTCTCACAAGTTGGTCAGTTCCTTAAAGAGGAGCATATAAAGTAAGAATATGATGGAAATGATGGAAGTTGGGAACAGGTTACGGGAGTTGGATCCTTGGGCCTGGAAGGGGGGGTGCGGGGAGAGCTGGTGCCCTGTCGCCATGGGGCTCCTGGGAGTAGGTGACTGACCTGGACCGGGCCAGGCGGGCCGGAGAGGAGGGTGTGGGGCGGCTGCCAGGAGCTGGGGCCTGGTCGTTTCCCGCACAGACAGAGCATCCTGTGCGAGGGCTCCCGAGGCGGAGTTCTGACTCTCTTTGTCTCCCCAAGGGCAGGGGCAAGGGCGGCCCCCGCCTCTGCGTCCTGCTCTGCGCGGGCCTCGCAAACGCACGCTCCCCGTCACTCTAGCGTGGCTGCTGCCCTTCCAGGGACACTCGGTGGGGGGCGGGGGTGGGGGGCTCCCCCTCCCAGTTTTTCCTGGAAAACGGAATGAGTTTCACTTGGTTGCTTCCCAAACGGCATCGTGTTTGCAAGAGACACAGGTGGTGCAGGCGGTTGAGAGGGACCTGGTCTCTAACGGAGACTGCCCTGCGCCCTCGGCAGCCAGCGCTGATGCTTTTCCTGTCTTTTCCAGAGTGAGGATCTGTCTGGCTCACCCTGACGTCACCCATCAGAGAATGACTTTAAAAGAAGATGCCCAGTGGTCTTTTTGGTTTTTTAATCTGAAGCTGCTTACGGTTTTCTTTTGGATCTGAGCAAGGACTCCGTTTTGGAACATCTACGACTATATTAGACTCTGGACCCACAAGGCAAGGACGCCTGCCCCTGCCCCTGGTTCGCGTCGGGGGCGCGTGTCATTCTGCTGCTCGTGCTGTGTTCTGTTTGCTCTCTCACGGAAGTCGCCGAAGAAGGTATTCTCAATTGGATGTTTCCATTGGCCCTTTAAATTGTGGCCGGTGTCTTAATTCCTCCTCACTTTCTTTGTGGCAAAGCAGTTTCATCCCTCGGCATGCTAGGAGCTGCTGCAGTACCCAAGAAGGTGGTAACATCTGGTCTTTACTGGCATGCACTCAAAACTACCACAGTCCTACCTCAGTTCAGGTGAAGCCGGATGTGTGTGGCCGGGGGCCAGCAGGACCTCCTGTACATAGCTGTCTGCTGAGTATGTCCCGCGTGTGGCCTTCAGCCTTATTTAAGTGGTCCCAGAACGCAGCGGCTCCGTGGATCCAATCCAGGTACCTGCGTGTTTACTCAGACCGAGCCCGGTGTGGGACTGACGTTTCTCAACGGAAATGCAATTTGGGATTGGACTTTGAAGATGGATTAATAAATAATAATAATAATTATATGTAACTGAAGCAACCTACTTTTGAAAATCATCAACTGTATTGGGTAGCGGGGGGGGAGGGTGGGAAGGGAGGGGTTTGGGGAGGGGTGAATATATCTTTTTACCTTTAACAGACTTGTTTAACCTTCTCTGCGTAGATCTTTATGTAGGTACATCAGATTGCAAAAGCCTTTGGTCCTATTTACAAGCTCAGATGTCTCTGCTACCCTTAATCTTCAGCCTGCTTTTCTTTAACCAAAAATTCACGTAGGCACACTAGCGATTCACGGGTGGTCACGGCTTTGGCAGGTTTGACAAGAATGCATTATCTTTACTCAACGCTACCGCGTCGGCCAATGAGGTGGCCCTGAGCAACCTATAAAAAAAAATTAAAAAAGAAAAGGGAAGGAAAGAAATTGATCAAAGAGGTATTCTGGCCCCTCTGTCATTAAGGAAGAAGAAAGAGAGGACGACACAGAACCTCACGTTACATGTGACTTGTCGGAAACAATTGCTGACGAGACGACCCTCATTTTATGTTTTCAGTGTTCTGAAAAGATCAGTGTTGTGGCAATCATTGCAGGGGTCATCTGAAACTGCTGACCTTGACCGGCAGAAGGTCACATCATCTTGCTGCCCCACGTGACCGGGGGCTGCAGACCTTCCTCCTACGGGCGCGTCCGCACCCATCTGTGCCGGGGTTCCTGGAGAGGCTACATTCATTCATTGGAGATGTGAGCTTTTTTTTTTTTTTTTTTTGCTTTTTTTTTGGGAGAAAAAAATATATAAATATATAGATATATATCACTATAGAATAATGCATTAATAAAATGAGGCTTTTTTAGAGGAAGACCAATAAATTCAATGTCTTAAAAATATATTTAATGACAATGCAAAAGTTTTCCTGCTTCTGTGCTGAACTTTTAGAACAGAGGATTGTATTGCAAGACAAAGTTGAATGTAAAGTGACCCCCCCCGAACATTTTTAAAGTTTTACTTTTCTAAAATCACACATCACAACAGTGTACAGACCAGATGATATTAGTTTGAAGGGTAATTTCAGTGTATAATACATATACTTTATTAAAATGGATAAAAACGTCCTACAGTTTGGATTTAGTTTTGGGACTCGGAATCGGTGGGTGGTATTTGCTGTGTATCTCGCACCCCTGCCCCCCGGGTACAGTGGGACTGAATCTGGACCCTGTTGGGATACAATGCGTGATGTGTATTTAATTAGTCCTGTATACTTAGAGTAGTCCTATCTCTTTACAAATGATTCATGTTCTTACTGCGGCTTACGACAAGCAAAATAAAAAGTTGATAATATACTAAATTTTCCTCTATCCTGTACATTTCAAAAAAAAAGGCATATGCAATATTTACATTTTTAATTTAGTTTACAGAATGGAACCAAAATGTATAAATGTTATGTTTGCTAAAACTTTGCAATGTACATTGGATCTTTGTACATTTTGCCTGACTTACCTTAAATTTAAAATATTTTTTGCTATATAAACTTTAACAGTTATTAAACAGTGTTTTCTTTTTGGGTACGTATTGTTCCTGGATATCAAGATGTTAAATATATTTCTTGCTATTGTGATATGACAAAAGACTGACCTTGCTCTGTCTTCCACTGTTCACGCTGTATATAAGGGTCAATGTGGTCGTGCTGGAGACGGCAGTAAACTGAGTTAGAATAGTGCACTGTATTTAGTCTGTCTTGATCATGGATGCTCTCCTTAACAGCCATATGCAATAAAATAAAATACATTATTTATGAAATGAACAAGGCCTTGAGGATTTTTTTTTTCCCGCGTGGATTCTGAATTCCACAAGAAGCCACTCTTCCTGGGGTTTTAGAGTAAAAAAGTGAAGCTCTTAGAATACTCGGATGCCTCTTCATTTAAATACTTTCATTCTGGCAACCCGAGAATATTCTGCGAGTCACAGAATTTACGAAACGTAAGTGTATGAAGCAAACGTTTACTGTACGGGGCGCAGCGTGCAGGATGGATGCTGTTCCCTGCGCTGTACAATCACGAACTCTTCTACATTCGGTGACAGCCGCGGGGGGTGGGCGCCACCCTCGCCTTGGTACCGATGAGGCAGCCGGGGCACAGGCGGTGACATGACCTGCCGGAGGGCACGTGGCCCTGAGCGGCGGGAGCGGCGTCCAAGCCCATCCACCTCCGGGGATGCGCGCCCGCCAAAGGTGAGCGGGTGCGCATGCACGCAGCAAAGCAGCACTGTCACGGCCAACAGGTGCACTTCCGGGGTCAGGAGATCACAAAAATGATGCTTATAGACTTTTGTCGAGGGGATAGCTTTCCCTCCTCGTTAGGAATAATTCCTCTGTACCTGCACTTTGCCCTAAAATTACCGGAGTGCAATAACTTGGGCATCCCCTCTTTTGAACAAATACAACCAGAGTCGATTGGAAGGTGGTTTTCAATGTTGGCTTTAAAAAAATTTTTTTTTTTAGCATTTATTTTTGAGAGAGAGAAACAGTGTGAGGGGGGAGGGGCAGAGAAATATGGTGACAGAATCTGAAGCAGGCTCCAGGCTCTGAGCTGTCAGCACAGACCTGATGCGGGGCTGGAACCCACGAACTGTGGGATCGTGACCTGAGACAAAGTCAGAGGCTTAACCGACGGAGCCCCCCAGGCGCCCCTTGATGTTGGCTTTTAAGGCATGAGACTGGCAAAGTCTGCGTGGTGTCTGGGGATTACAGGTGGCCGTGCAGGCTGGTCATGCCTGGACAGATTCCCCTCAGGGCTCCTGTCAGACACGGCCTCTGGGCTGGACACCCCTGAAATCTAGCTATTTTAACGAAAGGGCAGCTCAATAGCTGCCGTTCTAGAAAGTCGCGTAAGGTAGAAATTGGCAAAGGTCTTTACCCAAAAGAGCCGATTGTAAATGAAGAAGTGAGGAGTTGTTGCAAAGGCGCCAGCAATGTGCGCTCCAGCCCCAATTAGAAACTTTGAAGAGGGTCTAAGTTCCCTACGACCTAACGATGGGAAACGGTAAGGAGCCCACTCTGTTGACTTTGGAAGAGTTTGATTCTGACCCACGGACGGTCCCAGAGACCAGCTTGGAGGACGCAGCCTGGCTCCCGGCCTCCCGGTCTGTCCAGTGTGGGAGCTGAGCTGCAGGACCCGGGTCCCTCCTTACTGAACAGGTTTCCCAGCAGGCGCGGGCAGACGGCTCAGCCGTGGCCGTGTGGCCGTGTGAAGGGTCGGGGTGAGCTAGTGGGATCACATTTGGCTCCTTTGAAATGTGCGGAGTGTCTTTCCCATCACATTCCCCGTGCGGCTCTTCCACGTCTCTTCGATTTCTACGACTTGCTACGGTGTGAAGTTTCCAGTTCTTCCTTTGGCAGGGCTCCCGGCGACAGAGCTGTGTGGCCTCGTGCTGCTGGGCCTCGCCAGCACCCCCCCCCCCCTGGGGTCTGGCTGGGCTTTCTCTCCTCCGGCCGGCTGTCTCTGTTCCGTTCCGCGGCTTGTCTGCCCAGCTCCCAAGGATGCCGTCGGCTCTTGGGTGATTTCGTGCCTGCTTGTCGTTAGTACCTCCTCGATCTGGGGCTAAAACGATTTCCCTGAATCCACCTCAACTCTCAAGTGACCCACAGCCTTGGCCACTGCATGTAGAGAAAGTTCTGGGCTCTTTTGGTTACTGGCTCCTCTGACCTGAGCTGTGCCAGCTGGGTGTTCTTTTCCTCTATTCCGGAATCCCCTCCTTTCATCTGGGATGGAGACTCTAAAACCTCTAAATTTTCACAACACGCCGTACACATCAAGGAACCTACCTCCACCTGCCGCAGCCTGCCTGAGCTGCTGAGATGCCACAAATTCCCGGGTGACCCCAACATAAAGCAAACACATCAAACGGGCCGATGGCATTTCCCAGAAAATGCGAGTCTTTGTTAGGATGGAGTTCGCTGCTAATAGTAGCCCGACTCAGTGGTTTAACCCAGTTCTCCAGAGTGCAGGCTGGTTGGAATGTTCTGGAATGCTTCCCAGGCCAGATTGCTGGATGCCCCCCCAGTCTTCCTTCTCAGTGATCCGGGCGGGGCAGCAGAATCTCTGATTCTAGCAACTTCCTGGGGATGCTGAGGCTGCTGGTCTGGGACGAACTTTGAGAACCTCTGGACAGTAGGGGGATCTGTGATGTCACGAACGAGGGTGCGGGACGGGGTTATTCAGGCAGCTAAACGGCGGCATCAGGGCCCCAGGACCCTCTCACCTTCTATCAGCTGCCCTCAGCGTCTTGGCTTTTCCCTCTCAGGCCTGTCTCCTCATGTTTGTAAAATGGTTGTCGTGGCCCCAAAAGGCATACCATCCCATAATAATAACCAGTAAAGTCAGTCTCTCCTCCTTGGGTACTTTCTGAAGGGACCAAATGGTCCCAGAGCCACCACTCCCAGCCAGCGGGCCCTCACGCCCACTGACCGTCCCGGGTCCCTGCCCACGGTGGTCCTGGTCACTGGACAGCCTGTGGGTGGCTTGCACCAAACGAGGCTGGGAGTGGTCAGCATCCCGCGAAGCATGTGGCTGCGGGACGGCGGACAGAGCTGGGTGCTGGTGACAAGCACAGAGGGGGGGTCCCGTCTGGCAGCTGTGCCGGCCGCAGAAAACGGACGCATGACTGGAACCCCTGCAAATGCGAAAATCTCGGTTTGCGAGCATAATTCGTTCCGGAAACACACTTGTAATCCAAAGCACTTGTATATCAAAGCGAATTTCCCCGTGAGAAATCGTGGAAACTCAGATGATTCGTTCCACAACCCCCCCAGCATTCATATAAAAATGATTGCAACACTGTGATATAATACAAAATAATAAAATACAAAATATAAAGAAAAATAAATTAACCCGCACTTCCCTTTGAAAACCTTCATGGCTGGTGTGAGGGAGACAAGAGAGGGGAGGGCTATTGTGTAGGACGACTTTCACTATTACTAATGGAATCACTGCAATCTGTTGGCTCAATGGAATCTTTCTTTTTGTGCAAGTTAACAAGGAACATATCCAATGACCTAGAAGGAAGCAAAGCAT